GTCTGATGATGGACTGTTTTCCTTTACTTTTCTTTCTTCTTTTTTGACAGAACCGATGATGCGATGTATGTCATCACCTTTTAATTATTAATGTTGTTATTATTATCATCACCACCTTCATCATTATTATCATCATTGTTTTTATAATTAGTATCGCCATTTTCATTACCATTATCATTGTTATTATCATTATCATTATTACCATTATCATTATCGTTATCATTAATACAATTACTATTATCATAATCATCATCATCATCGTCATTATTATTATTATTGTTATTATCGTTATCATTATCATTATTATTATCATTATTATCATTATTATTATTATTATTATTATTATTATCATTATCATCATTATCATTATTATTGTTGTTGTTGTTGCTGTTATTATCATTAACATTATCATTATTATTATTGCCATTAATATCATTATTATTGTAATCTGTTATTATTTATCATTAAGATTATTATAATTATTATTATTATTACTATTATTATTATTATTATTATTATTATTATTATTATTATTATTATTATTATTATTATTATTATTATTATTATTGTTATTATTATTATTATCGTTATTATTATTATTATTATCATTTATCATCAGCATTATTATTATCATTGTTGTTGTTGTTGTTGTTATCATTAGCATTAATATTATCATTATTGCCAGTAATATCATTATTATTGTAATATGTTAACATTTATCATTATCATTATTATTATTATTATTATTATTATTATTATTATTATTATTATTATTATCATTATCATTATCATTATTATTATCATTATCATTATCATTATTATTATTATTATTATTATTATTATTATTATTATTATTATTATCATTATTATTATTATTATTATCATTATTATCATTATTATTATTATTAATTGTATTATCATTATTATTTTTATCATTATAATCATCATCATTATCATTACTATTATTAGTATCATTATTACCATTATTATCGTTATTACTATTACTATTACTAATACTGCTATTATTAATATTATTGTTATCATTATTGTTATTGTTGATATCATCATATTCATCACTATCAGCATCACTATCACCATCCTTATCATCACTATCATCATTATTATCATTATATTATCATTATGATTATCATTATCATTGTTATAATTGCATTATCACCACTGTTATCATTATTATTGCTACATGCACACATCTGTCTGTCTCTCTCTGTATGTAACTATATATGTATATATATATATATATATATATATATATATATATATATATATATATATACATATTATTATGAATATTAAATAATTCATTTCGATATTGGTGTTAAGTATAGGATTTCTTTATGGTATCAGAATTCTTCATATCGATAAGTTGCTCAATTGTTTTATATTATTATCGTTCAAGATGAAAAGAAAAGGAAACAGCCTCTTTTGAAATCATTTATTACAATAAAACAACAAAATTAATGAAATGAAAATTCAAAATGCAAATATAATAAAATAAATATATATACAAGAAACAGCAGTGAATAAAGGGCGGTAAGTACTTAATATTTTACATAGTTTTAAGACCTAATCATTTTGGAACGTGACGTTGCTTGGCGGTCATCATAACAAAGGGACACTGGGAGTTTCTTATTGTTTAAACACGAGCTAACATAAAATGAAACCTATTTCACTCGAATATCTCTAAACCTCAAAGGAGTGACACTGTTAACTTAAATAAAGGAGCAGATCATTAGTAATAAAGCCTAATATATCTCCAGAAATCCTCACCCGTGTACCGTCCAACCTCGACCTCGTCTTCTCTCCCACTGTCTTGTGCCCGCGCCCTCTCAGTAGGCGTTTCGAAAATTCGCGCGGCCAATTTAAAAACAATGTTTGGTTACATTTTTATAACTCACACAATTGAAACCGAAAAAATACATCTTCTACCTTACCCAAATAACACAAATAACCAAAAAGTAAAATATAATATATTCTATAACCAGATACGAATGCACCAAACTCTTCAAAGAGCACGAAACAAATACAGGGAATACTTAACTGAAACATGAACATGCAACAAACAACATGCCTATAGCTATACAATTATCACACCCCCCTCATTAAAATCTTTCATAGATTATTCATTACTTCAGACACCCTTCACACAGAAGGCCTTGACAACATGTCAGCGAGTACATTTTCTTTGCCTTTTATATGTATAATTTTCAAGTTGTAAGGCTGCAGGGCAAGACACCATCTGCTTAACCTCTGGTTCTTATTTTTCATGCGATTCACAAATTGTAAGGGATTATGATCACTATAAACTATGATTTCCTTTGCCGAATTATCTAAGTATACGGCAAACTTTTCCAGTGCCATTAACAGAGCCAAAGCCTCCTTTTCAATAGTGGAGTAATGACGCTGGTATACTTTGAACTTCGTAGACATGAAGGATACTGGGTGTAAGATGCCCCCATCGCCAGCCTGAAGCAACACCGCCCCCGCTGCGACGTCGCTCGCGTCCACCTGCAACACAAACGGCTGGCTGAAGTCCGGGCTTTTCAACACAGGTTTCGTCATCAGAATGGATCGGATCTTCTCGAAAGCTACTTGGCACTCTGAGGACCAGACGAACTTCTCCTTCGGGCTTACCAGGGCAGTGAGTGGGCTTGCAACATCTGCAAAGTTCGGACAGAAGCGCCGGTAATATCCTGCCATCCCCAAAAATCGCATCAGACCTTTTCGACTCGTGGGTGCGAGTAGTTGCTGGATTGCTTCTACCTTGGCCATAACGGGGCTTATCGTCCCCCCTCCTATTTCGTGACCCAAGAAGATAACCCGCGCATGAACAAACTCACTTTTCACTAAATTGACAGTCAAGTGAGCTTCTTTCAGGCGTTCAAATAAAACTCGTAAAGAGGCTACATGTTCCTCCCAAGTTAAGGACGTTATTAAGGTATCATCAAGGTAAGCATATACCCCACTTAACCCCGCCACTACCTTCCCCATTAACCGCTGGAATGTGGGTGCAGCATTTCGCATACCAAAAGGCATCACCTTGTACTGGAACAATCCATCAGGTGTAATGAATGCGGATATCCTTTTAGCTCGATCTGTCAGTGGTACTTGGTAATAACCTTTCAACAGGTCGAGTTTGGTAACAAAGGGAGCCTTGCCAACAGAATCAATTATATCGTCGATTCTAGGGAGAGGGAAGGAATCGGCGCGGGTTAGTGCATTTACTCTCCTATAATCTGTGCACATGCGCATCGTATTATCTGACTTGGGGACTAATACGCACGGTGACGCCCACTCACTCTCACTCTGCTCAATTAATCCATGATCTAATAGAAAGCGAACCTCCTCCCTCAGTATTTCCTTCTTGGATGGTGATAGTCTGTACGGCGATTGTCTGACAGGGACAGCGCCTTCTACTAGTATGACGTCATGCGCAACTACTGGACTCGGGCAGGGCACATCATTGAATATGTCTAGAAAATCACTTAGAAGAGCAATTATGATTGATTGTTGATCTCGTTCTAGATGCGAAAGTTTCTCATATGGATTTTGAAGTACATCTGAGTTGTGAAGTTTCACTTCTACCTTTGTTACCTGGAAATCGACTGCTGTTTTCAACTCATCACCTACTTCATGTACAAGGCTATTCACTACCTGAAGATTTTGTGTATGGTAAGCTTTGATTAAGTTTACATGCACTAATCTTTTACTCTTTCTACGTCCTGGAGTAGATACAACATAATTCACTTTCCCCACTTTTTTAATGACTTCAAACGGACCTTGGTAACTGGCCTGAAAGGGTAACTTCCTTACGGGCAATAACATAAGCACTTTATCCCCCGGATTGAATTCTCTTTCCACAGCCTCTTTATCAAAGTTATCTTTCATCTTTCTTTGAGCATCTTTCAGATTTTCCAAAGCAAATTTTCGTACAAAATTGAGCTTAGTCTTCAACTTGTAAACATATTCATGTACATTCCCAGGATTTTCTTCATCAAGCCAACATTCACTCATTAATTTCATAGGTCCCCTGATCTCTCTACCAAACAATAGTTCATCTGGAGAATATCCTAGGCTTTCTTGTTTAGCACTTCTAATAGCATGTAACATTAATGGAAGGCCTTCGTCCCAGTCTTTACCAGTTTCTAAACAAAATTTTGTTAACATGCTCTTCAGTGTTTGGTGGAATCGTTCTAAAGCACCCTGACTCTCCGGGTGATAAGCAGAAGCTAAATACTGAGTAATCCCGAGGCTAGACATAACTTGCTTAAAGACTTTGGAAGTGAAATTTGTACCCTGGTCTGATTGTACCGATCGTGGCAACCCATGTTGAGTGAAAAACTTAATGAGCAAAGGAATAATAGATTTGGAAGCCATATTTTTTATAGGAATAGCCTCAGGATACCTCGTTGAAGCACACATAATAGTTAACATAAACTGGTGTCCCCGCTTAGATTTTGGGAGGGGACCGACACAGTCAATAATCACTTTTGAGAAAGGTTCATTGACTACAGGGATAGGCATTAAGGGTGCCGGTTTCAGCTTTTGATTTGGTTTCCCTGACATTTGACAAACATGGCACGAATGGCAGAAATGACGTACATCTGATGAAATTCCTGGCCAGTAGAAATATTTTAATATTTTTCCCAAAGTTTTTTTCACTCCGAGATGTCCACCCGTATAATCATGAGCTAGACTGAGAATCGTAGGTCTATATACCATGGGAACTACAATCTGGTGGACCTCATGCCACACTTCTTCTGCATCTGTTTCTGGTGGACGATATTTACGCATGAGCAGACCTGACCTAAGATAATAGCCTTTGTAATCAACCTGACAATCTTTCTCTGATCCAGCTATAGCAAACAGAGGCTGTAAGGAACAGTCATCTTCTTGAGCTTTTAACAGAGCATGTCTAGAAATTGGTATCTGACTGAAATGCTGGAAACTTTCGCTTTCATTTCCCGTCTCAATTCTTTTGC